AATATCCTTGAGTGGCCGAGCCAGAGCCCGGACTTGAACCCAATCGAACATCTCAGGAGAGACCTGAAAATAGCTGTGCAGTGACGCTCCCCATCCAACCTGACAGCGCTTGAGAGGATCTGCAGAGAAGAATGGGAGAAACTCCCCAAATACAGGTGTGCCAAGCTTGTAGCGTCATACCCAAGACGACTCGAGGCTGTAATCGCTGCCAAAGGTGCTTCAACAAAGTACTGAGTAAAGAGTCTGAATGCTTATGTAAATGTGATACTTCAGTTTTTGTATTTTTAATACATTTGCAAACCTGTTTTTTCTTTGTCATTATGGGGTAGTGTGTGTAGATTGATGGATTATTTTTATTTAAATCCATTTTAGAATAAGACTAAAAAAGTCAAGGTCTGAATACTTTCAGAATGCACTGTATTAAGAAAAATACATTTATCAACATAGAGGTCTCTGATCATTACTCTGAACTGACTAAGGGGGACCAGAACATCTCATTTCAGAGATCTCTATGAGATGTTCCACATAAAGGGCCCCAAAAAACTAAAATCAGCTTTACCCAACTCTGTAGAGACAGAGACAGGGTTAGGTCAGGGGTTATGGATCTGACAGACAGACAGATGGGTTAGAGGTCAGGGGTCACTGTACTGTGAGGAGTACCATGACTCTAGACTTACTAAAAACACATTACATGAGTGATGCAGTGGTTGGTTATTGGCTAGCTCTGGTTCCATCTATTGGCTAGCTCGGGTTTATCTATTGGGCACTTGGTTATCTATTGGCTAGCTCTGGTTATTCTATTGGTAGTCTGGTTAATCTATGGCTAGCTCGGGTTCTATCTATTGGCCACCCTCTGTTATATCTATGGCTACTCTGGTTATATCTAATTGGCTAGCTCTGGTTAAAATCTATTGGCTAGCTCTGGTTATAATTTTGGGGCCAGCTCTGGTTCTATCTTTTGGGCTACTCTGGTTAAATATCATGGCCAGCTCTGGTTCTATTATTGGCTAGCTCTGGTTAATTCTATGGCAGCTCTGGGTTATATCTATTGGCTAGCTCGGGTTTCCCAGTTTGGGTTTTATTTTTGGGCCCACTCTGTTATATCTTTGGGCTACTCTGGTTATATTATTTGGCCAGCTCTGGTTCTATTATTGGCTAGCTCTGGTTATATCTATTGGCCAGCTCTGGTTATATCTATTGGCTAGCTCTGGTTAATGGCCTCTGGTTATTATTGGGCTTAGCTTCTGGTTATATCTATTGGGCTAGCCCCCTGGTTATATCTAATTGGCTAGCTCTGGTTATATCTATTGGCTAGCTCTGTTATATCTATTGGCTAGCTCTGGTTATATCTAACTATTGGCTAACTTCTGGTTATATCTATTGGCTAGCTCTGGTTTAACTATTGGCTAGCTCTGGTTTAGATCTATTGGCTAGCCCCCTCGGTTATAGCTATTGGCTAGCTCTGGTTTCTATCTATTGGCTAGCTCTGGTTATATCTATTGGCCTAGCTTCTTGGTTATATCTATTGGCTAGCCTCTTGGTTATATCTAATTGGCCAGCTCTGGTTTATATATTGTGCTAGCTCTGTTCTAATCTATGGCCAGCTCTGGGTTATAATATATTTGGCCAGCTCTGGTTCTATCTATTGGCTAGCTCGGGTTATATCTATTGGCTAGCTCTGGTTAATCTATTGGCCAGCTCAGGTTATTCATTGGCTAGCTCTGGTTATATCTATTGGCCAGCTCTGGTTATATCTATTGGCCAGCTCTGGTTATATCTATTGGCTAGCTCTGGTTCCAGCTCTGGTTATATCTATTGGCCAGCTCTGGTTATATCTATTGGCTAGCTCTGGTTATATCTATTGGCCAGCTCTGGTTCTATCTATTGGCTAGCTCTGGTTATATCTATTGGCCAGCTCTGGTTATATCTATTGGCTAGCTCTGGTTATATCTATTGGCTAGCTCTGGTTATATCTATTGGCTAGCTCTGGTTATATCTATTGGCTAGCTCTGGTTATATCTATTGGCCAGCTCTGGTTATATCTATTGGCCAGCTCTGGTTATATCTATTGGCTAGCTCTGGTTATATCTATTGGCTAGCTCTGGTTATATCTATTGGCTAACTCTGGTTATATCTATTGGCTAGCTCTGGTTATATCTATTGGCTAGCTCTGGTTATATCTATTGGCTAGCTCTGGTTATATCTATTGGCTAGCTCTGGTTCTATCATTGGCTAGCTCTGGTTAATATATTGGCTAGCTCTGGTTATATCTATTGGCAGCTCTGGTTATATCTATTGGCTAGTCTGGTTATATCTATTGGCCAGCTCTGGTTATATCTATTGGCCAGCTCTGGTTATATCTATTGGCAGCTCTGGTTATATCTATTGGCCACTCTGGTTATATCTATTGGCTAGCTCTGGTTATATCTATTGGCCAGCTCTGGTTATATCTATTGGCCAGCTCTGGTTATATATGGCCAGCTCTGGTTATATATATGGCCAGCTCTGGTTTATATATAGGGCCAGCTCTGGTTATATCTATTGGCTAGCTCTGGTTATATCTATTGGCTAGCTCTGGTTAATCTATTGGCTAGCTCTGGTTATATATATTGGCCAGCTCTGGTTATATCTATTGGCTAGCTCTGGGTATATCTATTGGCTAGCTCTTGGTTATATCTATTGGCCCCATCTGGTTTATCTCTATTGGCTAGCTCTGGTTCTTATCTATTGGCTAGCTCTGGTTATATCTATTGGCTAGCTCTGGTTATATCTATTGGCTAGCTCTGGTTATATCTATTGGCTAGCTCTGGTTATATCTATTGGCTAGCTCTGGTTTATATCTATTGGCTAGCTCTGGTTATATCTATTGGCTAGCTCTGGTTATATCTATTGGCTAGCTCTGGTTATATCTATTGGCTAGCTCTGGTTCTATCTATTGGCTAGCTCTGGTTCTATCTATTGGCCAGCTCTGGTTATATCTATTGGCTAGCTCTGGTTATATCTATTGGCTAGCTCTGGTTATATCTATTGGCTAGCTCTGGTTATATCTATTGGCTAGCTCTGGTTATATCTATTGGCTAGCTGTGGTTATATCTATTGGCTAGCTCTGGTTATATATATTGGCTAGCTCTGGTTCTATCTATTGGCTAGCTCTGGTTATATCTATTGGCCAGTTCTGGTTATATCTATTGGCTAGCTCTGGTTATATATATTGGCTAGCTCTGGTTCTATCTATTGGCCAGCTCTGGTTATATCTATTGGCTAGCTCTGGTTATATATATTGGCTAGCTCTGGTTCTATCTATTGGCCAGCTCTGGTTATATATATTGGCTAGCTCTGGTTCTATCTATTGGCTAGCTCTGGTTTATATATTGGCCAGCTCTGGTTTAATCTATTGTGCTAGCTCTGGTTATATATATTGGCTAGCTCTGGTTCTATCTATTGGCTAGCTCTGGTTATATATATTGGCCAGCTCTGGTTATATCTATTGGCTAGCTCTGGTTATATCTATTGGCTAGCTCTGGTTATATATATTGGCTAGCTCTGGTTATATCTATTGGCCAGCTCTGGTTATATCTATTGGCCAGCTCTGGTTATATCTATTGGCTAGCTCTGGTTATATCTATTGGCTAGCTCTGGTTATATCTATTGGCTAGCTCTGGTTATATCTATTGGCCAGCTCTGGTTATATCTATTGGCCAGCTCTGGTTATATCTATTGGCCAGCTCTGGTTCTATCTATTGGCTAGCTCTGGTTCTATCTATTGGCCAGCTCTGGTTATATCTATTGGCTAGCTCTGGTTATATCTATTGGCTAGCTCTGGTTCTATCTATTGGCTAGCTCTGGTTCTATCTATTGGCTAGCTCTGGTTATATCTATTGGCTAGCTCTGGTTATATCTATTGGCTAGCTCTGGTTATATCTATTGGCTAGCTCTGGTTATATCTATTGGCTAGCTCTGGTTATATATTGGCTAGCTCTGGTTCTATCTATTGGGCTAGCTCTGGTTATATCTATTGGCTAGCTCTGGTTATATCTATTGGCTAGCTCTGGTTATATCTATTGGCTAGCTCTGGTTATATCTATTGGCTAGCTCTGGTTATATCTATTGGCTAGCTCTGGTTATATCTATTGGCTAGCTCTGGTTATATCTATTGGCTAGCTCTGGTTATATCTATTGGCTAGCTCTGGTTATATCTATTGGCTAGCTCTGGTTATATCTATTGGCTAGCTCTGGTTATATATATTGGCTAGCTCTGGTTATATCTATTGGCTAGCTCTGGTTCTATCTATTGGCTAGCTCTGGTTATATCTATTGGCTAGCTCTGGTTATATCTATTGGCTAGCTCTGGTTATATCTATTGGCCAGCTCTGGTTATATCTATTGGCTAGCTCTGGTTATATCTATTGGCTAGCTCTGGCTACATCTTGGCAGGCTGGAGGGGGAATTCTACAAACTGATATCACTTGCTGTCTGTGTTCATATAAAACAAGCCTGTGTAATCATTGACTTGACCTGCTGTCTGTGTTCATATAAACAAGCCTGTGTAATCATTGACTTGACCTGCTGTCTGTTCATATAAAACAAGCCTGTGTAATCATTGACTTGACCTGCTGTCTGTGTTCATATAAACTAGCCTGTGTAATCATTGACTTGACCTGCTGTCTGTGTTCATATAAAACAAGCCTGTGTAATCATTGACTTGACCTGCTGTCTGTGTTCATATAAAACAAGCATGTGTAATCATTGACTTGTATACAGTAGTTGTTGGAAACAACATTGTAGGTTAAGTTTAACAGCACTTTGCTGCATCTTTATAACTGAAAAGCCAATAAGTTAGTGGACTACAGCCTCCTAGACTTTCCATCTGCCATTCACGTGTACAGCACACACTCATTACTGATAACCAGACAACAATGAAGCCATTTATCTACCTGTCAAAACAACTGCTAATGTAATGTGATGAACTCTGAGTCTGCAATGCGTTAGGGTTAACTCACCTTTCTCCCCACATACACAGGGATGCCTATGATCATGGCGGGGATGGCGATGCCAGCGATCAGAGCGATGCCCACCGGAGCGCCCACCAGCGTGCCCAGCTGCCACAGGATCTTCTTCTTCCTGCTCCACGGCTTCCTACCCCAGAAGGTGCAGCCTGACGGGCTGGAGGGGGGAGAGAGGGGGGGAGGGGGGGCTATTCAGAGGCAGAACACTGTGGCTACTGTAGAGAGAAGGATGTCCTCCTACTGAGAGTGTTGCCAGCCCACTAACTCCTCCTTTGCCTCTCACCTCAGGTAGTGCAGGTCAGAGATCTCCTTCATGCAGAGCCAGCAGAACTCACAGCCGCACACAGCACAGGTCATGTGGTTACAGCTGCCGTCGTTCATCTTGATGATGTAAGCAGCGCAGCGCGGACACGGCTTGATGTCATCAGCTGGGATGGAGATGGAGACAATTGGAGATTTCAAAAAAAAGTCAAATATGTGGAATAGAAGCCTAGTGTCTGTTTAACAGGTAGAGAGTCCACGTCCCCTAAATCCCAGACAGCACATAGACAGTGCATTCGGAAAGTATTCAGACCCCTTGACATTTTCCACATTTTGTTACGTTACAGCCTTATTCTAAAATTGATTAAATTGTTTTTTTCCCCCTCATCAATCTACACACAATACCCCATAATGACAAAGCAAAAGCAGGTTATACATTTTTGTAAATGTATACAAATAAAAAAAAACTGAAATATCACATTTACATAAGTATTCAGACCCTTTACTCAGTACTTTGTTGAAGCACCTTTGGCAGTGATTACAGCCTCGAGTCTTCTTGGGTATGACGCTACAAGCTTGGCACACCTGTATTTGGGGAGTTTCTCCCATTCTTCTCTGCAGATCCTCTGAAGCTCTCTCAGGTTGGATGGGGAGCGTTGCTGCACAGCTATTTTCAGGTCTCTCCAGAGATGTTTGTTAAGGTTCAAGTCCGGGCTCTGGCTGGACCACTCAAGGACATTCAGAGACTTGTCTCAAAGCCACTCCTGCGTTGTATTGGCTGAGTGCTTAGGGTCATTGTACTGTTGGAAGGTGAACCTTCACCCCAGTCTGAGGTCCTGAGCACTCTGGAGTAGGTTTTTATCAAGGATCTCTCTGTACTTTGCTCCGTTCAAGTTTCCCTCGATCCTGACTAGTCTCCCAGTCCCTGCCGCTGAAAAACATCCCCACAGCATGATGCTTCCACCCCCATGCTTCACCGTAGGCATGGTGCCAGGTTTCCTCCAGACGTGACGCTTGGCATTCAGGCTAAAGAGTTCAATCTTGTTTCTCATGGTCTGAGAGTCCTTTAGATGCCTTTTGGAAAACTCCAAGCGGGCTGTCATGTGCCTTTTACTGAGGAGTGGCTTCCATCTGGCCACTCTACCATAAAGACCTGATTGGTGGAGTGCTGCAGAGATGGTTGTCCTTCTGGAAGGTTCTCCCATCTCCACAGAGGAACTCTGGAGCTCTGTCAGAGTGACCATCAGTTTCTTGGTCACTTCCCTGTCCAAGGCCCTTCTCCCCCGATTGCTCAGTTTGGCCGGGCGGCCAGCTCTAGGAAGAGTCTTGGTGGTTCCAAACTTCTTCCATTTAAGTATGATGGAAGCCACTGTGTTTTTGGGGACCTTCAATGCTGCAGAAATGTTTTGGTACCCTTCCCCAGATCTGTGCCTCGACACAATCCTGTTTCGGAGCTCTACGGACAGTTCCTTCGACCTCATGGCTTGGTTTTAGCTCTGACATGCACTGTCAACTGTGGGACCTTATATAGACAGGTGTGTGCCTTTCCAAATCATGTCCAATCAGTTGAATTTACCAAAGGTGGACTCCAATTAAGTTGTAGAAACATCTCAAGGATGATCAATGGAAAAAGGATGCACCGGAGCTCAATTTTGAGTCTCATAGCAAAGGGTCTGAATTTGCAAAAATTTATAAAAACCTGTTTTTGCTTTGTCATTATGGGTTATTGTGTGTAGATTGATGAGGGAAAAAACTAATTTAATCCATTTTAGAATAAGGCTGTAACGTAACAAAATGTGGAAAAAGGGGTCTGAATACTTTCCGAATGCACTGTATCCCAGTTGAGAACCTTGTTTGTTATTCTGTCCTCTGACATATTGATAACACGGATCCATAACACATAATCCATAAGCCGAAACGAGTCCCCCTCGGGTTCTTTTCCACCAGACCTGTAGCAGCAGACTGATCACTTATGGTTAAAATAGCCTACTTAAAGTAATGAAAGTAACTTTAAGAAGTTTAAAACAACGTATTTACATCTTGTTTTCAAAGTTTGTATTTGGTTCAAAGCATTCGATTAGACCTAAACCTCAACTGGAGTGGGTGTTACCTGCAGCACCACTCTCCTGGCTGTAGCTATGAGATGAGGAGCTGAAGGCACGCAGCCTCAGGCTCTGGGCTCTCTGCTGTCGGGCTTACCTGTCTCCTGGCTGTAACTAAGAGACGAGGAGCTGAAGGCACGCAGCCTCAGGCTCTGGGCTCTCTGCTGCCGGGCTTACCTGTCTCCTGGCTGTAGTTGAGAGACGAGGAGCTGAAGGTACGCAGCCTCAGGCTCTGGGCTCTCTGCTGCCGGGCGGCGTCACACGTCTGGTTGGGGTGCCACAGCTGCTTACAGTGGTAGCAGAACTCTGTGCCGCACCCCTCACGCCCACACGTGATCTTAGGACAGCTGGCACAGCCAAAGGCAATGACTGCATACCTGGGGGGGTACAAACAGGTCAGGGTTACATCTCGACTGCAGGAGAGAAATGGATACAATGCAATCTGTGCTCAATGTGCAGGAGTCTGGAAACCCCTGTTTCTATCTGTTCATTCATTCAGATTCCTCAAATCTAGCAGTACTAATGTATACGGACGAAGCCATCGATCACGTGACACCATTCATTCCTATGTGAAGACTGAATAGCGCATGGGCAATTTCACGGTAACGGAATTACGCTGAGACTCAAGATTTTTCACTTCAAAATGTATGCCAAGCAATGGATTTTGTTTTGCATACATTTCAAAGTGAGAAATCTGAGTCTCAGTGCATGCATTTGAAGCCAAGGAAGTGATGTTGCAGGCTAGCTCAGTGCTGCCCCCTCTCATTGAGTAACTCAAGTTGAAGGCCGACCAGGGTACTGCAGGCTGCCGTTAGCTACTAAATTATCCTTAGAACTTCTGTGTGCAATTTTTTTATAATCAGTGCAAGGACATATATCTGGTTTATTAGAAGCAATTATTGGTACCATGATTGTCTTTGAAATGTGTATTTATTCACACACAGATTGACCACGAAGATAGCCATTTACCCATTCACTATAACAGGGGATCCTGTTTTCTGCTAACAATGCCTGCAGTACTACGGTCGGCCTTGAACTTCGTGGCTTCAATGAAAGGGGGCAGTCTTTCAGCTGGCCAGAACACAACAGCCCCCCAGAGAGTCTCCAGGCTGGATCAGTGGTGATGTGAGGCTGGATCAGTGGTGATGTGAGGCTGGATCAGTGGTGATGTGAGGCTGGATCAGTGGTGATGTGAGGCTGGATCAGTGGTGATGTGAGGCTGGATCAGTGGCAGGGCTTAACATTTACACTCGCCAAATGCGGGTCAATTTAGGTATTGGCAGTTAAGGATGTCTATTTCACCAGCCACATTGGCGGGTGCTCAATTTGCAAGGCCCTATGAATAAAAATAGTTACAAGTAAAGTACGAGCACAGGTGTGAGTTGGGGTTGGAGAAACTTCTGCTGCTTTGTTTCAGATGCACAAAGAAACACACATCCTAGAACCCACCTCGCGCAGCGGCGCTGTGTGCAATGAGTGAAGCGCTGATAGATTCATTTTTGGAGACGCTGAGCACAGGCATAAAACTCCCGCCCTTAAATGGGCAGCTAAACATATTGTCTGATATTTTGATTAAAATACAAAACAATTATTAAATTGAGTAATATACCACATTACTAATATATTTCTTGTTTTAGAAACATTACAAAGCATGGCCATCCATTTTTTTTTTTAAATGTTGTGTTTTTTGATGTAATTAAGGCGAAACAATATTTTAGCTGGTAAAAAATTCTGAGTGGCTGGTAGATTTTGTAATCTACCTGCCACAGTGGCTGGTGAATCAAAAAGTTAATTTTAGGCCCTGATCAGTAGTTATGGAGCAGGAGAAGGAGGAGGAGGAGGAGAAGGAGGAAGAGGTAGAGCAGGAGGAGGAGCAGGAGCAGGAGGAAGGCGCCATCAGGAGGAAACAGAGATGGTTTAACCATCAGAAGGAAACAGAGATGGTGTAACCATCAGAAGGAAACAGAGATGGTGTAACCATCAGGAGGAAACAGAGATGGTGTAACCGTCAGGAGGAATGCTCTGATGTCCTCTATGGGCCACTGAGGAGCAGTGTATTCTCCTGCATCATCTGATCTGGGACCAGTCACAGTGCTGCTGCTCCATAGCCAGCGAAACAGACTGAGGTAGCCTTATGGCTGTCTGCAGGGGCGCAACTTTGGTTTTAGAAGTGGGGGGGGACAATTATTATATATATATTAATCTAGGTCAGAGAAACACTCCTAAACAGCCTCCCCGACCGCTCTGAGGCGTCCGCATGGTCCTAAAGCACATCATTGCCTCGTTTTGTATCACATTCCCATGCTAAAACTGGAGGGGGGACAAAAATGCTATTTCAGAATGTGGGGGGACATGCCCCCGTCCCCAGTGAAAGTTGCGCCCCTGGTTGTCTGTCCTGCAGCTGGAGGCAGTACAGAGATGCATTAGGCTTCAACACTAGGAACCAGACTGACTGTGTGGACTGTAACAAACAGCAGTAGGCTTCAACACTAGGAACCAGACTGACTGTGTGGACTGTAACCAACAGCAGTAGGCTTCAACACTAGGAACCAGACTGACTGTGTGGACTGTAACCAACAGCAGTAGGCTTCAACACTAAGAACCAGACTGACTGTGTGGACTGTAACTAACAGCAGTAGGCTTCAACACTAGGAACCAGACTGACTGTGTGGACTGTACCAAACAGCAGTAGGCTTCAACACTAGGAACCAGACTGACTGTACCAAACAGCAGTAGGCTTCAACACTAGGAACCAGACTGACTGTGTGGACTGTACCAAACAGCAGTAGGCTTCAACACTAGGAACCAGACTGACTGTGTGGACTGTAACAAACAGCAGTAGGCTTCAACACTAAGAACCAGACTGACTGTGTGGACTGTACCAAACAGCAGTAGGCTTCAACACTAAGAACCAGACTGACTGTGTGGACTGTAACAAACAGCAGTAGGCTTCAACACTAAGAACCAGACTGACTGTGTGGACTGTAACTAACAGCAGTAGGCTTCAACACTAGGAACCAGACTGACTGTGTGGACTGTACCAAACAGCAGTAGGCTTCAACACTAGGAACCAGACTGACTGTACCAAACAGCAGTAGGCTTCAACACTAGGAACCAGACTGACTGTGTGGACTGTACCAACAGCAGTAGGCTTCAACACTAGGAACCAGACTGACTGTGTGGACTGTAACAAACAGCAGTAGGCTTCAACACTAAGAACCAGACTGACTGTGTGGACTGTAACTAACAGCAGTAGGCTTCAACACTAGGAACCAGACTGACTGTGTGGACTGTACCAAACAGCAGTAGGCTTCAACACTAGGAACCAGACTGACTGTACCAAACAGCAGTAGGCTTCAACACTAAGAACCAGACTGACTGTGTGGACTGTACCAAACAGCAGTAGGCTTCAACACTAAGAACCAGACTGACTGTGTGGACTGTAACAAACAGCAGTAGGCTTCAACACTAAGAACCAGACTGACTGTGTGGACTGTACCAAACAGCAGTAGGCTTCAACACTAAGAACCAGACTGACTGTGTGGACTGTAACAAACAGCAGTAGGCTTCAACACTAAGAACCAGACTGACTGTGTGGACTGTACCAAACAGCAGTAGGCTTCAACACTAAGAACCAGACTGACTGTGTGGACTGTAACAAACAGCAGTAGGCTTCAACACTAGGAACCAGACTGACTGTGTGGACTGTAACAAACAGCAGTAGGCTTCAACACTAAGAACCAGACTGACTGTGTGAATAGCTCTAACTGTGCTCTGCTGAGGGAAAAGAAAGTTCCAGCTAACTCAAACCATTCCTGAAGAGAAGGACATGGCTGCCAGCAGCTTAAGAGCAGCAGGCTGAACACAGCCAAGCAAGGAGGCCTGAACACCGTCTGGCTATAAAGACAGAGGGGATACACAGCCAAGCAAGGAGGCCTGAACACCGTCTGGCTATAAAGACAGAGGAGATACACAGCCAAGCAAGGAGGCCTGAACACCGTCTGGCTATAAAGACAGAGGGGATACACAGCCAAGCAAGGAGGCCTGAACACCGTCTGGCTATAAAGACAGAGGGGATACACAGCCAAGCAAGGAGGCCTGAACACCGTCTGGCTATAAAGACAGAGGGGATAGACTGGGGGACTACAGAGGCTGGAAAGTATGTAGTGTGTTTCTGAAGTCGTCTCAGTAGCCAATGAAAGCAGAAACAGACCCATTGAACTGCCTGCATGCTATGAAATGATTCTCCTGAGTGTAGTGTATGCAGTGGTGGGAAAAAGTACCCAATTGTCATACTTGAGTAAAAGTAAAGATACCTTAATAGAAAATGACTCAAGTAAAAGTCACCCATTAAAATACTACTTGAGTAAAAGTATTTGGTTTTAAATATACTTAGGTATCAAAAGTAAACGTAATTGCTAAAATATACTTAAGTATCAAAAGTACAAGTATAAATCATTTCAAATTCCTTATATTAAGCAAAGCAGACGGACACATTTTCCAGTTTATTTATTTACAGGTAGCCAGGGGCACTCCAACACTCAGACAGATAGCCAGGGGCACTCCAACACTCAGACAGATAGCCAGGGGCACTCCAACACTCAGACAGATAGCCAGGGGCACTCCAACACTCAGACAGATAGCCAGGGGCACTCCAACACTCAGACAGATAGCCAGGGGCACTCCAACACTCAGACAGATAGCCAGGGGCACTCCAACACTCAGACAGATAGCCAGGGGCACACTCCAACACTCAGACAGATAGCCAGGGGCACTCCAACACTCAGACAGATAGCCAGGGGCACTCCAACACGCAGACAGATAGCCAGGGGCACTCCAACACTCAGACAGATAGCCAGGGGCACTCCAACACTCAGACAGATAGCCAGGGGCACTCCAACACTCAGACAGATAGCCAGGGGCACTCCAACACTCAGACAGATAGCCAGGGGCACTCCAACACTCAGACAGATAGCCAGGGGCACACTCCAACACTCAGACAGATAGCCAGGGGCACACTCCAACACTCAGACAGATAGCCAGGGGCACACTCCAACACTCAGACAGATAGCCAGGGGCACACTCCAACACTCAGACAGATAGCCAGGGGCACTCCAACACTCAGACAGATAGCCAGGGGCACTCCAACACTCAGACAGATAGCCAGGGGCACTCCAACACTCAGACAGATAGCCAGGGGCACTCCAACACTCAGACAGATAGCCAGGGGCACACTCCAACACTCAGACAGATAGCCAGGGGCACTCCAACACTCAGACAGATAGCCAGGGGCACTCCAACACTCAGACAGATAGCCAGGGGCACTCCAACACTCAGACAGATAGCCAGGGGCACTCCAACACTCAGACAGATAGCCAGGGGCACTCCAACACTCAGACAGATAGCCAGGGGCACTCCAAACACTCAGACAGATAGCCAGGGGCACTCCAACACTCAGACAGATAGCCAGGGGCACACTCCAACAGATAGCCAGGGGCACACTCCAACACTCAGACATCCTTTACAGATAGCCAGGGGCACACTCCAACACTCAGACATCATTTACAGATAGCCAGGGGCACACTCCAACACTCAGACATCATTTACAGATCACCAGGGGCACACTCCAACACTCAGACATCCTTTACAGATAGCCAGGGGCACACTCCAACACTCAGACATCATTACAGATAGCCAGGGGCACACTCCAACACTCAGACATCATTTACAGATAGCCAGGGGCACACTCCAACACTCAGACATCATTACAGATAGCCAGGGGCACACTCCAACACTCAGACATCCTTTACAGATAGCCAGGGGCACACTCCAACACTCAGACATCCTTTACAGATAGCCAGGGGCACACTCCAACACTCAGACATCATTTACAGATAGCCAGGGGCACACTCCAACACTCAGACATCATTACAGATCACCAGGGGCACACCAACACTCAGACATCCTTTACAGATCACCAGGGGCACTCCAACACTCAGACAGATAGCCAGGGGCACTCCAACACTCAGACAGATAAGCCAGGGGCACTCCAACACTCAGACAGATAGCCAGGGGCACACTCCAACACTCAGACAGATAGCCAGGGGCACTCCAACACTCAGACAGATAGCCAGGGGCACTCCAACACTCAGACAGATAGCCAGGGGCACTCCAACACTCAGACAGATAGCCAGGGGCACTCCAACACTCAGACAGATAGCCAGGGGCACACTCCAACACTCAGACAGATAGCCAGGGGCACTCCAACACTCAGACAGATAGCCAGGGGCACTCCAACACTCAGACAGATAGCCAGGGGCACACTCCAACACTCAGACAGATAGCCAGGGGCACTCCAACACTCAGACAGATAGCCAGGGGCACTCCAACACTCAGACAGATAGCCAGGGCACTCCAACACTCAGACAGATAGCCAGGGGCACTCCAACACTCAGACAGATAGCCAGGGGCACACTCCAACACTCAGACAGATAGCCAGGGGCACACTCCAACACTCAGACAGATAGCCAGGGGCACTCCAACACTCAGACAGATAGCCAGGGGCACACTCCAACACTCAGACAGATAGCCAGGGGCACACTCCAACACTCAGACATCATTACAGATAGCCAGGGGCACACTCCAACACTCAGACATCATTACAGATAGCCAGGGGCACACTCCAACACTCAGACATCATTACAGATAGCCAGGGGCACACTCCAACACTCAGACATCCTTTACAGATAGCCAGGGGCACACTCCAACACTCAGACATCCTTTACAGATAGCCAGCGGCACACTCCAACACTCAGACATCATTTACAGATAGCCAGGGGCACACTCCAACACTCAGACATCCTTTACAGATAGCCAGGGGCACACTCCAACACTCAGACATCATTACAGATAGCCAGGGGCACACTCCAACACTCAGACATCATTTACAGATCACCAGGGGCACACTCCAACACTCAGACATCCTTTACAGATAGCCAGGGGCACACTCCAACACTCAGACATCATTACAGATAGCCAGGGGCACACTCCAACACTCAGACATCATTTACAGATCACCAGGGGCACACCAACACTCAGACATCCTTTACAGATCACCAGGGGCACACCAACACTCAGACATCATTTACAGATCACCAGGGGCACACCAACACTCAGACATCCTTTACAGATCACCAGGGGCACACCAACACTCAGACATCCTTTACAGATCACCAGGGGCACACCAACACTCAGACATCCTTTACAGATCACCAGGGGCACACCAACACTCAGGACATCCTTTACAGATCACCAGGGGCACACCAACACTCAGACATCCTTTACAGATCACCAGGGGCACACCAACACTCAGACATCATTACAGATAGCCAGGGGCACACTCCAACACTCAGACATCATTTACAATCACCAGGGGCACACCAACACTCAGACATCCTTACAGATCACCAGGGGCACACCAACACTCAGACATCCTTTACAGATCACCAGGGGCACACCAACACTCAGACATCCTTTACAGATCACCAGGGGCACACCAACACTCAGACATCCTTTACAGATCACCAGGGGCACACCAACACTCAGACCATCCTTTACAGATCACCAGGGCACACCAACACTCAGACATCCTTTACAGATCACCAGGGGCACACCAACACTCAGACATCCTTTACAGACGAAGCATGACCAGGGACGTTCTCTTGATAAGTGTGTAAATTACACCATTATACTGTCCTGCTTAGCATTCAAAATGTAACTAAGACTTTTGGGTGTCAGGGGAAAATGTATGGAATAAAAAGTACATTATTTTCTTTAGGAATGTAGTGAAGTAAAAGTAGTTAAAAAAATAAAATAAAAAGTAAAGTACAGATACCCCCCAAAAAACTACTTAAGTAGTACTTTAAAGTATTTTTACTGAAGTATTTTACACCAGCGAGTGTATGTATTCTGAATACAGGAGCATGTCTCTGTGTCTGTCCTGTAACCATGACGCTTTCTCCTGTTCATTCATTAGCTGCCTGACCCCATTTCAACGCTTCCTTGTCTAGCTAAGATTCTTCAATCCTTGGTAAATGTACAACTTTGCTGTTCTTTATCTGAGAAAATGTATTTTGAATGTAAATCAAATTGGGGTTTAACCCTCCCTCCCTCCCTGTCCCTGTCCGTCGCGCCCTGTCCCTGTCCGTCGCGCCCTGTCCCTCCCTCCCTCCCTGTCCCTCCCTCCCTGTCCGTCCATCCCTGTCCGTCGCGCCCTGTTCCTGTACATCCCTCCCTGTCCCTGTCCATCCCTCCCTGTCCCTGTCCCTCCCTCCCTGTCCCTGTCCGTCCCTCCCTGTCCATCCCTCCCTGTCCCTGTCCATCCCTCCCTGTCCGTCCCTCCCTGTCCCTCCCTCCCTGTCCGTCGCGCCCTGTCCCTGTCCGTCCCTCCCTGTCCGTCCATCCCTCCCTGTCCCTGTCCTTCCCTCCCTGTTCCTGTCCATCCCTCCCTGTCCGTCGCGCCCTGTTCCTGTCCATCCCTCCCTGTCCGTCGCGCCCTGTTCCTGTCCATCCCTCCCTGTCCGTCCCTCCCTGTCCCTGTCCGTCCCTCCCTGTCCCTGTCCATCCCTCCCTGTCCCTGTCCCTCCCTCCCTGTCCCTGTCCGTCCCTCCCTATCCCTGTCCCTCCCTGTCCCTCCCTCCCTGTCCCTGTCCATCCCTCCCTGTCCGTCCCTCCCTGTCCCTGTCCGTCCCTCCCTGTCCCTGTCCGTCCCTCCCTGTCCCTCCCTATCCCAGCCTCGTGGTACAACAGACACCCTGGGCCTGGCTTTCTGCCAACACCCAGTCAGGAAGGGAATTAGCTAACAACTTTAAACAGAACAACATGACTAGGGGATTACTGAGTGTCCTGTATGGCAGAGCCAGGCAGCCAGCCAGGCAGGCAGGTAGAGAACACTGGGGACAAACCGGACAGAGTATTCATACATTTACATTTTAGTCATTTAGCAGACGCTCTTATCCAGAGCGACTTACAGTTAGACCCCTTGACTTATTCCACATTTTGTTGTGTTACAGCTTGAATTCAAAATGGATTAAATATGTTTTCCCCCTCAACCATCTAAACACAATACCCCATAATGACAAAGTGAAAACACGTTTTTTGGAATTTTTTATTTTTATTTTTTGAAAATGAAATACAGCAATATCTAGCACACCAACACTCAGACATCCTTTACAGATCACCAGGGGCACACCAACACTCAGACATCCTTTACAGATCACCAGGGGCACACCAACACTCAGACATCATTTACAGACGAAGCACGACCAGGGACGTTCTCTTGATAAGTGTGTAAATTACACCATTATACTGTCCTGCTTAGCATTCAAAATGTAACTAAGACTTTTGGGTGTCAGGGAAAATGTATGGAATAAAAAGTACATTATTTTCTTTAGGAATGTAGTGAAGTAAAAGTAGTTAAAAAAATAAAATAAAAAGTAAAGTACAGATACCCCCCAAAAAACTACTTAAGTAGTACTTTAAAGTATTTTTACTGAAGTATTTTACACCAGCGAGTGTATGTATTCTGAATACAGGAGCATGTCTCTGTGTCTGTCCTGTAACCATGACGCTTTCTCCTGGTCATTAGCTGCCTGACCCCATTTCAACGCTTCCTTGTCTAGCTAAGATTCTTCAATCCTTGGTAAATGTACAACTTTGCTGTTCTTTATCTGAGAAAATGTATTTTGAATGTAAATCAAATTGGGGTTTAGGCCTGGGCATATGACTATTACAGCAACCACTTTAGTTGTTAATGATCTTGTCAACGCTTTAGACACTAAAATGAAATGTGCTGCTTTGTTTGTGGACCTGTCAAAAGCGTTTGATAATGCTATTTTATTGAATAAATTGTCCTCGATAGGCCTGAGCTCTGACGCCTGTTCATGGTTTCATGTTTATCTTAGTGACAGAACTCAGGCCATCGTGATTGATGGGGTTAAGTCTGAATTTCATAAAGGTGTACCACAGGGGTTGATTTTTGGGACCTGTTCTCTTCACTATTTATATGAACACCATTGGTCAATCTGTTAAATGTAAACTTCATCTATATGTGATGATACTACTATGTAAGCTATTGCCCTGACTGTTGATCTGGCTGTGTCAAAACTACAGTCACATTTTATAGCCATGCAGGAATCCCTTGCTGATTTAAAACTAGTGCTTAATATGGGCAAAACTAAATGCATGTTGTTTTTAAAAACTCTCCATCCCTCCCTGTCCCTGTCCCTGTCCGTCGCGCCCTGTCCCTGTACATCCATCCCTGTCCCTGTCCCTATTCCTCCCTCCCGCCCTTGTTCCCCTGTCCATCCCTTCCCTGTCCCTGTCCGTAACACCTCCCTTGTCCCTGTCCGTCGGCCCCGGTTCCCTCCCTCCCCCTCCCTCCCTGTCCCCTGTCCCATGTCCGTCCATCCCTCCCATGTCCCTGTGTCCCAATCCCTCCCTGTTCCCCTGTTCCCTGTCCGTTCCATCCCTCCCTTGTCCTGTCCATCCCTCCCTGTCCCTGTCCATCCCTCCCTCCCTGTCCCTGTCCATCCTTCCCTGTCCCTGTCCGTCCCTCCCTGTCCCTGTCCGTCGCGCCCTGTCCCTCCCTCCCTCCCTGTCCCTGTCCCTGTCCGTCCATCCCTCCCTGTCCCTGTCCATCCCTCCCTGTCCCTGTCCATCCCTCCCTGTCCCTGTCCGTCCCTCCCTGTCCGTCCCTCCCTGTCCGTCCCTCCCTGTCCCTGTCCATCCCTCCCTCCCTGTCCCTGCTTCCCTGTCCGTCGCGCCCTGTCCCTGTCCGTCCCTCCCTGTCCGTCCCTCCCTGTCCGTCCCTCCCTGTCCCTGTCCGTCCCTCCCTGTCCATCCCTCCCTGTCCGTCGCGCCCTGTCCCTGTCCGTCGCGCCCTTGTCCCTGTCCGTCGCGCCCCTGTCCCTGTCCGTCCATCCCTCCCTCCCTCCCTCCTGTCCCTGTCCGTCGCGCCCTGTCCCTGTCCGTCGCGCCCTGTCCCTGTCCGTCGCGCCCTGTCCCTCCCTCCCTCCCTGTCCCTCCCTCCCTGTCCGTCCATCCCTGTCCGTCGCGCCCTGTTCCTGTACATCCCTCCCTGTCCCTGTCCATCCCTCCCTGTCCCTGTCCATCCCTCCCTGTCCCTGTCCGTCCCTCCCTGTCCATCCCTCCCTGTCCCTGTCCATCCCTCCCTGTCCGTCCCTCCCTGTCCCTCCCTCCCTGTCCCGTCGCGCCCTGTCCCTGTCCGTCCCCCTCCCTGTCCGTCCATCCCTCCCTGTCCCTGTCCTTCCCTCCCTGTTCCTGTCCATCCCTCCCTGTCCGTCGCGCCCTGTTCCTGTCCATCCCTCCCTGTCCGTCGCGCCCCTGTTCCTGTCCATCCCTCCCTGTCCGTCCCTCCCTGTCCCTGTCCGTCCCTCCCTGTCCCTGTCCATCCCTCCCTGTCCCTGTCCCTCCCTCCCTGTCCCTGTCCGTCCCTCCCTATCCCTGTCCCTCCCTGTCCCTCCCTCCCTGTCCCTGTCCATCCCTCCCTGTCCGTCCCTCCCTGTCCCTGTCCGTCCCTCCCTGTCCCTGTCCGTCCCTCCCTGTCCCTCCCTATCCCAGCCTCGTGGTACAACAGACACCCTGGGCCTGGCTTTCTGCCAACACCCAGTCAGGAAGGGAATTAGCTAACAACTTTAAACAGAACAACATGACTAGGGGATTACTGAGTGTCCTGTATGGCAGAGCCAGGCAGCCAGCCAGGCAGGCAGGTAGAGAACACTGGGGACAAACCGGACAGAGTATTCATACATTTACATTTTAGTCATTTAGCAGACGCTCTTATCCAGAGCGACTTACAGTTAGACCCCTTGACTTATTCCACATTTTGTTGTGTTACAGCTTGAATTCAAAATGGATTAAATATGTTTTTCCCCCCTCAACCATCTAAACACAATACCCCATAATGACAAAGTGAAAACACGTTTTTTGGAATTTTTTATTTTTATTTTTTGAAAATGAAATACAGCAATATCTAAAATACATAAGTATTCACACCCCTTTGTTATGACAATCCAAACTGAGCTCAAGTGCATCCAATTTCCTTTGATCATCCTTGAGATGTCACTACAACTTTGTGGCCAATTCAATTGTTTGGACATGATTTATAAAGAAACACTCCTGTCTATATAAGGTCCCACAGTTGACAGTGCATGTCAGAGCAGAAACTATACCATGAAGTCCAAGGAACTGTCCGTAGATCTCTGTGATGAGGCATATATCTGGGGAAGGGTATAAAACTATTTCTAAAGTGTTGAAAGTTTCCAAGAGTACAGTGAAATCATTAGGAAATGGAAAAAATATGGAAATACCCAGACTGCCTAGAGCTGGCCGTCCGACCAAACTGAGCAACCGGGAAAGAATGACCTTGGTCAGGGAGGTGACCAAGAACCCAATGACCACTCTGACAGAACTACAGAGTTCCTTGGCTGAGATGGGAGAACCTGCCAGAAGGACAACAGTCTCTACAGCACTTCACCAATCTGGGAATTATGGGAGTGGCCAGACGGAAGCATCTCCTGAGAAAAGGGCAGCACGACTGGAGTTAAGAAAAGACACGTGAAAGACTCTGATCATAAAGGCAAAAGATTATGTGGTCTGATGAGACAGAAATGTAACTCTTTGACCCGAATGCAAAGCGCCATGTCTGGAGAAAACCAGGCACAGCTCATCACCCGTCTAACACCATCCCTACCGTGAAGCATGGTGGTGGCAACATCACGCTATGGGGTTGCTTTTCAGCAGCAGGGACTGGGAGACTGGTAAGGATAGAGGGAACAATAAATGGAGCCAAATACAGGAAAATCCTTGATGAGAACCTACTTCAGAATGCAAATTACCTTAGACTGGGGCGAAGATTTAAATTCCATCAGGACAATGACCCCAAGCATAAAACCAAAGCAACGCTGGAATGGCTTTAGAACAAGAATGTGAAAGTCCTTCAGTGGTCCAGCCAAAGCCCAGACTTGAATCCCATTGAAAATCTGTGGAAAGACTTGAAGATTGCTGTTCACTGCCGCTCCCCATCTAACAGAGCATGAGAAAATCTGCAAGGAAGAATGGGAGAAAATTCCCAAACCCAGATGTGCAAAGCCGATACAGGCATACTGAAGACGACTCAAAGCTGTAATCGCCACCAAAGATGCTTCTACAAAGTATCGACTCAGGGGTGTGAATACTTATGTAAATGAGATATTTCTGAATTTCAAAAAAAATAAAAAATAAAATAAAACCATTTCTATAAACATGTTTTCACTTTGTCATTATGGGTATTGTGTGTAGATGGGTGAGGGGGAAAATAAATGTAATCCATTTTGTATTCAGGCTGTAACACAACAAAATGTGGAATAAGTCAAGGGGTATGAATACTTTCTGAAGGCACTGACCCTGCATTGCTGCCACACGCAACACTCGGAGCCAGGCCAGCCTGCAGCATCACGCTGATGATATAATATATAGGCCAGCCTGCAGCATCACGCTGATGATATAATATATAGGCCAGCCTGCAGCATCACGCTGATGATATAATATATAGGCCAGCCTGCAGCATCACGCTGATGATATAATATATAGGCCAGCCTGCAGCATCACGCTGATGATATAATATATAGGCCAGCCTGCAGCATCACGCTGATGATATAATATATAGGCCAGCCTGCAGCATCACGCTGATGATATAATATATAGGCCAGCCTGCAGCATCACGCTGATGATATAATATATAGGCCGGCAGGTAGCCTAGCGGTTAAGAGCGCTGGGCCAGTAACCAAAAGTGGCTGGTTCGAATCCCCGAGCAGACTAGGTTAAAAAAATCGATCGATGTGCCCTTGAGCAAGGCACTTAACCCTAATTGCTCCTGTAAGTCGCTCTGGATAAGAGCATCTGCTAAATGACAAAAAATGTCAAATGTAAATGTCATGTGATGGAGTTAACACAGTAGGCTAATGGATGGACCATCTGCCCTCGACTCTCTCTCACCAGAGTGAGGCCTCATCTCTCCTTTCCTGCTCCGTCCTCTCCTTTCCAGCAGGTCAATGACAAAAAGACAGCATCCATTCTTACTGAGCCAGCAGGTATCGAGTCCAACTGGAGGAAGAGGACTGGGAGGAGGGTTGAGTGGTGGTTTGGCCCATAGTGAGACAGGGAGAAGAGGACTGGGAGGAGGGTTGAGTGGTGGTTTGGCCCATAGTGAGACAGGGAGAAAGGACTGGTGGTTTGGCCCATAGTGAGACAGGGAGAAGAGACTGGGAGAGGGTTGAGTGGTGGTTTGGCCCATAGTGAGACAGGGAGAAGAGGACTGGTGGTTTGGCCCATAGTGAGACAGGGAGAAGAGGACTGGTGGTTTGGCCCATAGGGAGACAGGGAGAAGAGGACTGGGAGGAGGGTTGAGTGGTGGTTTGGCCCATAGTGAGACAGGGAGAAGAGGACTGGGAGGAGGGTTGAGTGGTGGTTTGGCCCATAGTGAGACAGGGAGAAGAGGACTGGGAGGAGGGTTGAGTGGTGGTTTGGCCAAAGTGAGACAGGGAGAAGAGGACTGGGAGGAGGGTTGAGTGGTGGTTTGGCCCATAGTGAGACAGGGAGAAGAGGACTGGAGGAGGTTGAGTGGTGTTTGGCCCATAGGAGAAGAGAGAGGACTGGGAGGAGGGTTGAGTGGTGGTTTGGCCCATAGTGAGACAGGGAGAAGAGGACTGGTGGTTTGGCCCATAGTGAGACAGGGAGAAGAGGACTGGGAGGAGGGTTGAGTGGTGGTTTGGCCCATAGTGAGACAGGGAGAAGAGGACTGGGAGGAGGGTTGAGTGGTGGTTTGGCCCATAGTGAGACAGGGAGAAGAGGACTGGTGGTTTGGCCCATAGTGACCCAGAACCCTTGGCGCAGGCTTAGTGGTGTTAACCCATAGGGACCAATGACTGGAGAGGGCTAAGTTAAGTGGATGGCCTCCTCCCAGAGTGATGCGGGGGGACTGAGGATGGTGGTGTTCCCTAGTAGCCCTGAACAGGACTGGTTCCCATAGTTGAACCAGGGAGGGGCTTTGAGAGTCTGAGCGGTGTCCTTAACAGGAAGTCCTTGAACAGGTGGTTCCCATATGAACACGAGAACAGCAGTGCTTGAGGAGTGAGGTGGATCCTCTCAGTCAGTCCAGGACAGGCTGGTTTCCCAATCCCTTAACAGCAGTGCTCAGATGCACGGGAAGCTTGTGGTCAGTCCCATTAACAGGGGTTCCATAGCCCTCGGAGAGGAGTGGTTTTGCAGTGGCACGGGAGAAAGACTCGTGTCAGAGCTCTATAGGTGGTTGCCCATATCCTAACAGCAGGAGTGCACGGGATCAGAGTCTCTAGGTGGTTTCCCATATCCCATGAAAGAGGACTGGTGGTTTGGCCAGTGACGGGAGAAACTTAGTAGTCTGTAGGTGGTTCCCATAGTGAGACAGGAGTGAAGGCTGAGGGAATCTTGAGTTTGGTGGTTCCCATATAGACCTAAAGGGGATGTAGTTTCCCCACGGTGTTCCAGTCGTCCCTCTCCAGCTTCCCTACTCTAACAGCATGCTTCACATGCACGGAAGCTCAGGTCTAAGCTGGTACCATTCCCCTCCTCCAGAGTGCTTGTCAGCTCCAACTGGTGTATCTCTCAGTCAGTCCCTCTACAGGCTGGTTCCCATATCCCCTCTAACCAGCAGTGCTTTCAGCTGCACGGTGAATCCTCAGTCAGTCCCTCTACAGGCTGGATCCCATATCCCCTCTAACCAGCAGTGCTTTCAGCTGCACGGTGAATCCTCTCAGTCAGTCCCTCTACAGGCTGGTCCCATATCCCCTCTAACCAGCAGTGCTTTCAGCTGCACGGTGAATCCTCTCAGTCAGTCCTCTACAGGCTGGTTCCCATATCCCCTCTAACCAGCAGTGCTTTCAGCTGCACGGTGAATCCTCTCAGTCAGTCCCTCTACAGGCTGGTTCCCATATCCCCTCTAACCAGCAGTGCTTTCAGCTGCACGGTGAATCCTCTCAGTCAGTCCCTCTACAGGCTGGTTCCCATATCCCCTCTAACCAGCAGTGCTTTCAGCTGCACGTGAACCAGTACAGTCCTTACAGGCTGTGTTAGTAGACCCTCAACAGCAGTGTTGTCACACGTGAAATCTCAGTGAGTCACTGACAGAGTTGATCCCCAACCCCAACCAGCAGTGCTTTGCATCTTGCACCAGGCTGAAGCCTCTGTCATCTCTCTACAGGCTGGTTCCCTTGTGCCTCTCTATACCAGCAGTGACCTTTCACGATCCCCTGGCACTGTGTGATCTCTCAGTACCAGCCCTGAGCCCTGGTGCCATTCCTTCATACCAGCAGTGGCCCTGTGGTGCCATCTCTTTCATACCAGCACAGGCTGGTGCCAATCCTCTAACCAGCGGGCTTAACCACGGTGACATCCTCTCAGTCAGCCTGAGCCCGTGGTGCCATCCTCTCTACCAGCAGGCTGAGCCCGTGGTGCATCCTTCATCAGTCCCTAACGGCTGTGTCCATATCTTCTAACCAGCATGCTTGAGCCACGTGTGCCAGGACTAATACAGAGCTGAGTGTGGTGCACCATACACATGAAATGTGTCCACTCTTCGCAGGAGCTGTTGGTGCATCTCATGACAGCACTGTGCCGTGGCACCATCAACCAGCAGCCTGAGCCCTGTGGTGCCATCTCTTCATACCAGCAGCCTGAGCCCTGTGATGCCATCTCTTCATACCAGCAGCCTGAGCCCTGTGGTGCCATCTCTTCATACCAGCAGCCTGAGCCCTGTGGTGCCATCTCTTCATACCAGCAGCCTGAGCCCTGTGGTGCCATCTCTTCATACCAGCAGCCTGAGCCCTGTGGTGCCATCTCTTCATACCAGCAGCCTGAGCCCTGTGGTGCCATCTCTTCATACCAGCAGCCTGAGCCCTGTGGTGCCATCTCTTCATACCAGCAGCCTGAGCCCTGTGGTGCCATCTCTTCATACCAGCAGCCTGAGCCCTGTGGTGCCATCTCTTCATACCAGCAGCCTGAGCCCTGTGGTGCCATCTCTTCATACCAGCAGCCTGAGCCCTGTGGTGCCATCTCTCATACCAGCAGCCTGAGCCCTGTGGTGCCATCTCTTCAAACCAGCAGCCTGAGCCCTGTGGTGCCATCTCTTCATACCAGCAGCCTGAGCCCTGTGGTGCCATCTCTTCATACCAGCAGCCTGAGCCCTGTGATGCCATCTCTTCATACCAGCAGCCTGAGCCCTGTGGTGCCATCTCTTCATACCAGCAGCCTGAGCCCTGTGGTGCCATCTCTTCATCCAGCAGCCTGAGCCCTGTGGTGCCATCTCTTCATACCAGCAGCCTGAGCCCTGTGGTGCCATCTCTTCATACCAGCAGCCTGAGCCCTGTGGTGCCATCTCTTCATACCAGCGCATATATATGATTTGCTATAGGACACCAAGTGTAGACTGTCACTATCTGGAGAATATTGGCTGTAGTACCCATAACAATATCAGTTCCCATTGGCTGTAGTACCCATAACAATATCAGTTCCCATTGGCTGTAGAGACCATAACAATATCAGTTCCCATTGGCTGTAGTACCCATAACAATATCAGTTCCCATTGGCTGTAGTACCCATAACAATATCAGGTCCCATTGGCTGTAGAGACCATAACAATATCAGGTCCCATTGGCTGTAGTACCCATAACAATATCAGTTCCCATTGGCTGTAGTACCCATAACAATATCAGGTCCCATTGGCTGTAGTACCCATAACAATATCAGTTCCCATTGGCTGTAGTACCCATAACAATATCAGGTCCCATTGGCTGTAGTACCCATAACAATATCAGTTCCCATTGGCTGTAGTGACCATAACAATATCAGGTCCCATTGGCTGTAGTACCCATAACAATATCAGTTCCCATTGGCTGGTAGTACCCATAACAATATCAGGTCCCATTGGCTGTAGTGACCATAACAATATCAGTTCCCATTGGCTGTAGAGACCATAACAATATCAGGTCCCATTGGCTGTAGTACCCATAACAATATCAGTTCCCATTGGCTGTAGAGACCATAACAATATCAGTTCCCATTGGCTGTAGTACCCATAACAATATCAGTTCCCATTGGCTGTAGAGACCATAACAATATCAGTTCCCATTGGCTGTAGAGACCATAACAATATCAGTTCCCATTGGCTGTAGTGACCATAACAATATCAGTTCCCATTGGCTGTAGTGACCATAACAATATCAGTTCCCATTGGCTGTAGTGACCATAACAATATCAGTTCCCATTGGCTGTAGAGACCATAACAATATCAGTTCCCATTGGCTGTAGAGACCATAACAATATCAGTTCCCATTGGCTGTAGTGACCATAACAATATCAGTTCCCATTGGCTGTAGTGACCATAACAATATCAGTTCCCATTGGCTGTAGAGACCATAACAATATCAGTTCCATTGGCTGTAGTGACCATAACAATATCAGTTCCCATTGGCTGTAGTGACCATAACAATATCAGTTCCCATTGGCTGTAGTGACCATAACAATATCAGTTCCCATTGGCTGTAGTGACCATAACAATATCAGTTCCCATTGGCTGTAGTGACCATAACAATATCAGTTCCCATTGGCTGTAGTGACCATAACATTGTGGCAATAACAAGGAAAGCCAAAGTACCAAAAAGGCAGGTCCTAAGATCATACAAAAATATTTCTCAGGACTCTTTATAATATAATAATAATATGCCATTTAGCAGACGCTTTTATCCAAAGCGACTTACAGTCATGCGTGCATACATTTTTTTGTGTGTATGGGTGGTCCCGGGGATCGAACCCACTACCCTGGCGTTACAAGCGCCGTGCTCTACCAGCTGAGCTACAGAGGATGTAAAACATGTATGTTGGTCTGATGTGTGTAAGGAGGAGAATCCAGATGCAGCACTTGGGAGTATTTGTAAAATTATTCTAGCTAGTTGTTGACAAGCTGTTGGAGCCCTCAGGATCGATGATGAACTTAAGAATGGTTCAAAGAAATGACGCAAAAAAGGTGGTCAACAAGTCAGGCTCCTCAGCTGACTGGTTGACATACTGGCAATTGAGACATTTTGTAACTAAAATTCCATTACCAAAACAAGATAAATTACTTAAAAACTATGGAAAAAGACTTCAGTACCTTAAATAATATTATAATATAATACTATCGTTCATTGAAGTTGATGGGTCATTTAAACCTTTTGATATAGCCAATCATTTCAATGACTTTCACTAGTAAAGTGGACAAACAGAAGTGAAGTGAGAACATTGAACAGTGAGCCATCATATTTGTGTATTGAGGATGTAATAATGTAAGAGAAGGATTTCTGTTTTGAATTTGTGTACAGGAGTTGCAGCGATGGGACAAGACTGTAACTACCAATTGGATATCACGAAATTGACACACTGATCACTTAACCCGGAAGCCAGCCACTCGGGAGGCTCCAGCACTAAAATAATTTGTATGTCATTACTCCATAATGCATTTACTGTTTTAATAATCGAAGCTGAAATTTAAAAAATGTGAATCTTTTTTTTTTTTTTTTTTTGAATTGAACAGACTACTAAATGCACAATGGGTTTAAAGCTAAACAATGCAGTCAGCACACTGCAGGCCTGACTGCCTGGCCAGCCCTACTCTGCTCACTGCAGGCCTGACTGCCTGGCCAGCCCTACTCTGCTCTATTGTTCCACTGAGGCAGGCCAGGCAGCAGGCAGGCAGAGGACCAGACGCACAGCTGGAGGTCACAGGCTAGCATACACTCCCTCTCTTCTCTCTAACACACAGAGAGATTACTGGCCAGGGAAATGGAGGGACAAACAGAGCTCAGGGCTTAGATGAAAACATCCCTGGTTTCAGGGACAGAAAATGCTGAATTTATACTCATATCTAGGACTGGGCTTAGACCATAATAGGATTTCAAATCCATTGCCAAACGTGCTAATATTGTTAGATGCAAAATGATTTCATCTGATCCAGAAATCTCAGTGTGGCCCGCCCTATGTGTCTGAGCTGAGGATCTTACCCGCAGTCGGGGGTGGGGCACCAGCGGCAGTCAGGGTCAGCCACCAGCCATCGCCTCAACATGAACTCCTCATACTTCTCCATGAGGGGCTGGTCTCGCAGGATGATGCGGATGTCGTGGGGGTTGAACCGCTCGGAGCACTCTGGACAGCTGATGTTGACGCGCGACTCACTGATCTCTATCCGCAAGTACTGGCGCAGGCAGTCCGCACAGGAGCGGTGGTGGCAGGTCATGATGTCTGGGAAACTGTCCCTGGAGTGGCGTAGAAGGCACAGCGGGCACTCCAGCAGCTCTGGACCCCGGGAGGAAGAAGAGGAGGAGGAAGATGAGGCCACTAGGGAGGAGGTGCAGGCAGCTCCTGCCACTGAGTAGGCAGAGTTCTTATCGTTTAGCATGAGGTCTGAGTGGATGCTGTCTATGCTGGCGATGGCATCTCCTCCTCCTCCTCCTCCTCCTCGGAGCTCCTTGGACTTCCTCTTGGGCTCCCGGCGCCGTCTGAACAGGTTCCCCAGGGACAGACGTCTCTTCTTGGGGGCCTTCTTGACGGAGGGCAGGCTGACTGAGGAGGAGGACTGAAGGTCCCGGTCAGAGCCCATGGCGTGGTCCTTCTGGAGGCTCATCATCATGTTGTCTCCAGAGGGGGGCGCTGCCCAGGGTTAGGGAGGCCGGGGAGAGGGAGAGACTGAGGGGGGGGGCGCTGCCCAGGGTTAGGGAGGCTGGGAACAGGGAGAGACTGGGGGGGGGGGCGCTGCCCAGGGTTAGGGAGGCTGGGAAACAGGGAGAGACTGGGGGGGGGGGGGGGGGCTGCCCAGGTTAGGGAGGCTGGGGAGAGGGAGAGACTGGGGGGGGGGGGGCTGCCCAGGGTTAGGGAGGCTGGGAACAGGGAGAGACTGAGGTGGGTGGGGTTGTGGACAGTGGGAGGGAGGGAGGGAGGGGGGGGGGGGGGGGGGGGGGGGGTCAGGGGTGGGGGACAGGTGTCTAGTGGGGCACAGGGTTTAAGCCATGGCGTTCTCGTCAGTCCTTTCCTGGGTCTCCGGGGCTCAGAGGGGCCTGAGGATAAAAGAGAAGAGAAGGAAACAAAGTATCTGTTAACAATTATTCAAACACCAAGCATCTACATGTGGAACGTTAACTACATGTTTCTACAATTAAACAAAGATACACTCCACATCTGGAGTCATCATTTCAATCATCGTATGAACTAGAGAAGCCGGCGACTGTGATAAACTCCTCAATGCCATCTGATTAACTCCGGAACATATTCCAGTCTGAGCTAGCGAAACAGTCCTGTAGCTTAGCATCCGCTTCATCGGACCACTTTCGTACTGAGCGTGTCACTGGTGCTTCCTGTTTGAGTTTTTGCTTGTAAGCAAGAAATCAGGAGGATAGAGTTGTGGTTAGATTAGCCAATTGGAGGGTGAGGGGGAGCTCTGTGTGTGGGGTAAAGGTGATCTAGAGTTTTTTCGCCTCTAGTTGCAAAGGTGACATGCTGGTAGAAAACGGATTTCCGTTTTCCTGCATTAAAGTCCCCGGCCACAAGGAGCGCTGCGTCTGGATGAGCATTTTCTTGTTTGCTTACGGCCCTATACAGCTCGTTGAGTGAGGTCTTAATGCCAGCATCGGTTTGTGGTGGTAAATAGACAGCTACGAAAAATTGTAATATATGGTGTACAATTTATCATAAGGTATTCTAACTCAGGCGAGCAGAACCTCGAGACTTCCTGAATATTAGAGATCGCGCACCAGCTGTTGTTAACAAAGAGACACACAACTCCCCCCCTGAGTTTACCAGAAGCTTCCGTTCTGTCCTGCTGATGTATAGAAAAATGTGCTCGATCTATATCATCCATGTCCTTGTTCAGCCACAACTCTGAGAAACAGGATGTTACAGTTCTTCAGGTCCCGTTGAAAGGATAGTCTCAAACGGAGCTCATCCAGTCTACTCTCCAGTGATCGCACGCTCGCCAATAGAACGAACGGTAGAGGTGGTTTATCCACTCGCAGACGAAGTCTCGTCAGGTATCCCGCACGCCAGCCTCTAGAACACGGCCTCTTCCTTTTACGAGTGTCTGGGATTTGGGCCTGGTCCGGGATGAGCATTATGTCCTTCTCCACCTGGGTGTCATTACTAAACACAGTTGGCCCCTGATGTCTGGGTGTCA